GCTGTGTAACCTCCTTGACCAAATGCAGGCAGAGGGTTGAGGAAGAAAGCAGGTTTGGGTTGCTTTTCTCAGGATTTGACTGTCTTTCAGTCTCAGCCTATGGACACCAGGTATAGGCTACTCCTACTCTGCTCCCAAGCACCAGATAGGGCCCTGAGCAGGCAGAGGTCCAGCAGCTCTGGGCACAGAATCCCAGAACACCCCAGCTGTCAATCTGGTCCTGATATTGAAGCTCACTTCTAAAAACTAAGCTTTGAAATCTTTATTTCTAAATAATTCTCTTGTCCTTCCTATTCCCCTCCCCCTCCTTTCCCTTCATTCCCCTTTGTCTAGTCCAGTGAACTTCTCTTCTTCTCCTCCCCACCCTCCCTTGTTGTGAATTAGCATCCACATATCAGAGAGAATATTCAGCCTTTGGCTTTGGGAGACTGGCTAATTTCACTTAGCATAATATTCTCTAGTTCCAGCCATTTGCTGGCAAATGCCATAATTTCATTTTTCTTTATGGCTGAGTAATATCCCATTGTGTATATGTACCACATTTTCTTTATCCATTCATCTATTGAAGGGCACCTAGGTTGGTTCCATAGCTTGGCTATTGTGAATTGAGCTGCTATAAACATTCATGTGGCTACATCACTGTAGTATCTGATTTTAAGTCCTTTGGGTATAGACCGAGGAGTGGGATGACTGGATCAAATGGTGCTTCCATTGTAAGTTTTCTAAGGAATCTCCTTACTGCTTTCCAAAGTGGTTGCACCAATTTGAATACCCAACCATGCTATGTTCACAACATGTACAACCACAAGCGTCTTTTCATGTCCTCTTGTTATGGGGCAGACCGTTCAGAGAACATACCAAGTCCATTTTGTTTGAATTGGAGTCTTTATTTAGCCGGGTGGCCCACATCCGCAAGCAGAGGCACAGAGCTGAATTGAGCAGTTAGCCAAACAGTGCAGTGGGTACATTGGGATTTCCCCGGGGACTTTCCAGGTTGGCATAGCAGCAAGCAAGCAGAAGGGAAGTGGGTCAAAATGACCCTAATTGAGTACAAGTTAGAGAATGGTTACTAACATCTAAACGATCAATCGCTGACAGAGTACACTGCTCAAGAAAAATGGGAACCAAAGAGAACAATTTTACATTGCGTAAGAATTACCATTTTGGGCTGGGGATGTGGCTCAAGCGGTAGCGCGCTCGCCTGGCATGCGTGCGGCCCGGGTTCGATCCTCAGCACCACATACAAACAAAGATGTTGTGTCTGCCGAAAACTAAAAACTAAATGTTAAAAAATAATTCTTAAAAAAAAAAAAAAGAATTACCATTTTGTGTTGCCAAACATGCTATGCTAAGCAACTATTGATAGGCACAGAGGGGGAGTGTTCCCATGGGAGAAGCATTTCTTACATGAATCTGTTTGGCAACTGTTTGGCTATACGTCATTGCCCATATAGCGTGGCCTGTAACACTCTTAGACATTCATATACCTTCTTTGGTGAAATCAAAATTTTTGCCTATTTTAAAATTGGTTTTTCTTCTTATAAGTTTTTTCTAATAATTTAGAGGCACTTATAATAACTCGGGGGGCACTCGAGCACTGAGACACATCCCCAGCCCTATTTTTTAAATTTTACTTACAGACAGGGTCTCACTGAGTCACTTAGCGCCTCACTTTTGCTGAGGTTGGCTTTGAACCTGCAATTCTCCTGCCTCAGCCTCCAGAGCCACTGGGATTACAGGTATGAGCCACTGCACCCACCTGGGTTTTCTTACTATTAATCAGTTATAAGAGTTCTCTATATATTTTGGATACAAATTTTGCCTTTCGTCAGGCAAACAATCTGCAGTATTTTCTAATCTAATCTAATCTGTGCCTTGTGTTTACATTTATCTGAATTCTGGCTCTTGAAATAAAAGTTTTTAATTTTGATGAGATCCAATTCATCCATTTTTTTTTTTAAAGCATCATGCCTTTGGTGTCATACCTAAAACTCTACCCAACCTGGGTGAAAGATTTTCTTCCATTTTCTCACATAGTGGCTTTATGGTTTCAGCTTTTACCATGATGACTATGACCTACTTTGCTTTGGTATTTATGTACTTCGGTGTAAGGTAAGGGTCTAGGTTTATTCTTTTGCATGTAAATATTCAATTTCTTTTTTTGTGGCAGAGCGGGTACCAGGGATTGAACACAGAGGCATTCAACTACTGAGCTGTATCCTCAGCCCTATTTTGTATTTTATTTAGAGACAGGGTCTCACTGAGTTGCTTAGCGCCTCACTATTGCTGAAATTGGCTTTGAACTCAAGATCCTCCTGTCTCAGCCTCTAGAGCCATTGGGATTATAGGCATGCGCCACAAACAACGCCCATCCATTGACTATTCAATTTCTTGAAAAGATTATCCTTTCCCCATTGAATTATCTTGCTATGTTTGTCAGAAATCAATTGACAAGGGGCTGAGGATGTTTGCTTGCCTAGCATGTGCGAGGCCCTGGGATCAAACCTGGCAATGCAAAAAAATAAAACAACAAAACAAAGAATAATAATAATTAGAGACCTTAAAAAAAAAAAAAGCTGGGTGCAGTGGTGCATGCCTGCAATCCCATTAACTATCAAGTCTGAGAAAGGATTGCAGATCAGAGGCCAGCATCAACAACTTAGCAAGATCCTATCTCAAATTAAAAATGAAAAAAAACTATGGGAATGTAGCTCAGTGGTAGAGTGCCCCCAAGTTCAATCAGTACCAGAAAAAATAAATAAGAAATCAATTGGCCAGAAATATAAGAATTTCTGGATCCTCAATTCTTTTTTTTTTAATCGATCTGTCCTTGTGTCAATACTGCCCTATATTAATTATTGCATATTCACAGTAAGTTTTAGAATTTAAAAATGATACTCTACCAATCTTGCTCTTTTTCAAAATTGTTTTGCTTATTCCAAGTCATTTGTATTTTCTTGTAAACCTTGGAGTCAACTTGTCAATTTTCCCCCAAAGAAATCCTATGGGATCTTGAGTTTGCTTCAGTCTATGAATTCATGTGGTAAAAATTATCTTCTTTATTTTTACCCCCTCTTCAGTACTAAGAATTAAACCTGAGGCACTCTTCCACCAAGCTACATCCCCAGTCCCTTTTTGTTTTGAGAGAGTGTTGCTAAAGGTTGGCCTCGAACATGTTTCCTCCTGCCTCAGCCTCCTGGGATTATAGGTGTCACTACCATGCCTGCAAAAATCACCATTTTGACAATACTGAGTCTTGGAATCCATCAACATGGAACTTTCCTCCACTTATGTAGGTCGTCCTTATTTCTGTTGCCAATGTTTTATGTAAGTTTTCAGCATACAGAAATTGTACTTACATTTATTATTGTTTTATGTGAAGGTAATATAAATTTCATTTTCAAATTGTTCTGTGGTTGATTTCTCTATATTGCTCTTGTATCCTTTCCACCTTGCTAAACTTTTTAGCTCTGGGATTTATTTGGTGGATTCCTGGGAGCATTTGCATGAGATTATGTCATCTGTGATGAACAGCAGTAGTTCTTCTACAATCTAGATGCTGCTAGAGGTGACAGTGTACCTTGCCTTTATCCTAATCTTCAGGAAAGAGTGCTTTGTCTTTTTTCTCTAGGTGTGAAGGTGGCTGTGAGTTTTCCATGATGCACCAATTAAGTTGAAGGCATTCTCTATTCCCACTCTGTGGGCAGCTCCTCATTTTTTGTGAGTTCTTCTTCATGAATGTGTGTTGAATTTTGTCAAGTGCTTTTTCTGTATCTAGTGAGACAATCATGGGGTTTGTTATTCATTTGATTGATATGGTATACCACTGTAGCATAATGAACACACACACACACACACACACACACACACATATATATATATATATATATATATATATATATATATATATATATATATATGAGAGTGTGTGTGTGTATTTTGGTCTTTGTCCCCAGTTCCTGGCACAAAGTTCCTAAAACCCCAGGAATGTCCTGATGTCAGGAGTATCTTTTGTTATTCATAGTGACCACAGGTGAGTTCAATGGTCCCAAATTAGGATGTTCAATTTAGGATTTTCTACATTCACAATGGTTAAAAAAAAAAAAAAAAAAAAAAAAAAGCCAGGTACACTCAATAGAAATACTTTGAATTTTGAACTTTGCTCTTTTCCAGGCTAATGGCAGGAGGTATGATCTTTTCTTGCGAAGCTTGCTGGGCAGGAGGGCAGAGCCACAAAAGGCAGTCCTACAGCCTCAGGGTAAACACAGATAACTCTACAGACTTCTGTTGTGGTGATGCTTGGTAAGTTATAAATACATTTCAACTTACAATATTCTCAACTTACAACAGGTTTATCAGAACATACTCCTCACCGCAAGCCCAGGAGCACCTCTACCTGTTAATGAGGTGACTTAAGTTGCTTCTAGACAGGGGCTGGTTGCCTGGGAAACCAACTACACAGTATCATATGTTGGAGCTTCTCAGCTTTTCCTCTGGGGTGGGTGCACGCTGGGACTCAGTTACCAGGGGATAATGATTCCATCAAGCACACCTACAGGGGGCGTCCGGATTGTCGAACACTTCTGTGTCTTGACAGCGCAGTGTACCAGAGGCCTTTGAAACTCATGTTCCAATCCCCAAACCAGCTTGCCCCCATGCTTGGCTTCCATCTGGCTGTTCCTGCGTTGTATTCTTTATGAACACAAAGCCATGTCAGTAAGTTAGCACTTGGCTGAGTTCTGTGAGTTGTACTAGCAAATATCAAACGTGCCCTTCTTGTATCTGAAGAGGGGGAGTCTTATGGGACCGAGCCTTTAACTTGTGGGGTCTGTGCTAGGGCTGAATAGTTAGCATCAGAAAAGAACACCCGGTTGGTGTTGGAAAATGACTCTTTTTTATCAATTGATTTTGAGATGTTTAACCAATCCTGCTTTCCTGGGACAAATCCCACTTGGTCACGATGTAGGACCCTTTTTATGTATTTGTTTTATATGAATTAGGTTTGGTAGTATCTTGGCCTCTATGTTCATGACGGATACTTGTCTGTGGTTTTCTTGTCGTGTCTGGCTTTGGAACCAGGTCACACCAGCCTTATGGTGGAGTTGCAAAGTGGTCTGCTCCTCTGCCATTTTCTGAAAAAAATGTGTGAAGGGTAAATATTAGTCCTTCTCTAAGTCCTTGATAAAACTCACCATGCAGCCAGCTGGGCCTCGAGTTTTCTCTGTGGGTATATTTTTAGTGACTATTAAGTTTCTTTACTGGTCATAAGCTATTCAGAGTTCCTATTTCCTCTTGAGACACTTTGAGTATCTTTCTAAGATTTCCTCCATTTCACCTGAATGGTCTACTTCTCCTTCTCCTTTGGAGGTGAACTTTCATTAATATTGAAGGCATTTAACCCATTAAGTCCCATCATCCCAGATGTGGGACACATACAGAAACTTAAATTGAGCAACGAATGCACCATTTGTAACTTTTGGAATGAATATTGTGTTAGGGTTCTATTCTTTTGAGAAAATTAACATGACTGGTGCATTTGAAAGAATAATTATATTTCCATATACATGAGAAAATATATATAGGCTATAAATTACTTCCAACCTATTTTATGGTACCTGTGTCAATTTTGCCAAAATATTTAAAGAACTAAAAACTTGGGACTTAATGAATTAATTTTGGAAGTTGCCATATTTAACAACAACCTAAAATACCAACAGAGATAGGCTCTTCAGAGAGAGGAAGTTATTTGGAAATAAATGACAGGAGATGGCCATCATGGAATACATGTGCTATGATATGCCCCAGTGGCCATGGGCATACCCAGAGGCAAAGCAAGACAAGTGATTTTGAAGGCGAAAGGAGGAAGGTCACATAAATTGTGAATCAATAATTCTTGGCCTCGTGGGCCAGTAACAGGAGAGGCAGCTGTCCAGGATAAAGCAGGCTGCTGCTGGGTAGGCCTGCTCCCAGGTGCTCTAGGTGTAGGCTTGGTGCTGGGAGCCCTTCCCTGGGTTCCATCGGAGCATGCCTGGGAGGCCCTGTCTGGACTTCCCACCGCCAGCTGGCGAGGCTCTGGTACCACTGACTCCACTTGGATCTGACAGCATTCACATTTCTTATTCTTGCTCGCGCCTAAATTTAAATCCACAACTCTCCCTGGTGTTTGCAGAGCTGCCACCATGCCCATGGACCATCATGAGTTCAAGATGGTGAACTTTCATTAATATTGAAGCCATTTAACCCATTAAGTCCCATCATCCAGATGTGGGACACATACAGAAACTTAAATTGAGGAAGATGTGGTTTTTGTTTGTTCGTTTGTATTTAGGGGATTTTTTTTTTTGGTGGTGGTGAATGAACCCAGGTTTCGGGCATGCTAAGGAGACACTCTACGCTGGACTACATTCCCTGGCCTGGCAACCCACCTGAGGTTATTTCACTGCAGCCATCAGTTCTGGAGCAGCAAGAAAAGCATCAAGGCAACCAACATTACAATCATCGTTCTGCGGCCAGAAAAAAAATAATTACACACCACGAAGGGACTTTGCCAAACAGGTTATTACTTGTGTCATGTTCCTTCTTAAAAATGATTAATAGCAGCAACATTCCGTGAGTGGGCTGTCGCCCATGGATGAGTGGCCCCTCCCACACAGAGACCAGGGTACGAGAAGGCTGTTTAGGGGAGGGAGTCTCATGGGTGACCGCTCATCTAACTGGTTGATATGGGGGTAAAAAAACACAGCAATTTATTTGGTGTTGGAAATGTTTAGGATAAAAATGTCTTCAGACTCATCAGTGTAAAGAGTATGCATAAAGTGATGGAGTTAAGCCAGTTGTGAGGGCAATAAAAAACCGTGGGTGCAAAAGGAGCAGTAGGTCAGGAGAACAGGACTTCTGCCCCTGTAGCAACTACATCCAGACTGGGGACCAGGGAGGTGGGGCTGACAGGTCAGGAGGAGTCGGTAGCAGGGGAAAGACAGGCCATTCCGGGAAACACAGGGAGAAAAGGCAGAGATGCTGGGTAAGTAGGATGGAGTCACAGAGCAAAATGAGGAGACCCCAGAAAGGGGTGTGTTCTGGAGACGAGCATGGCTTTGCACCCCGAAGTCTGGGTTTTGCATGGAGCAGTTCTGTAGTATTAAGGTCCTGTAGGATCAGTTCTTAGAAGCTGTCAAATGTTGGGAGAAATAAGAAGTTTGGGCTTGATCTGGTAGGAAGAACCAACAATTCTCTTTATTTATTTATTTTTTTTTTGAGAATTTTAATATTTATTATTATTATTATTATTTTTAGTTTTCAGCAGACACAACATCTTTGTTTGTATGTGGTGCTGAGGATCGAACCCGGGCTGCACGCATGCCAGGCAAGTGCGCTACCGCTTGAGCTACATCCCCAGCCCAACAACCAACAATTCTGAACAGGGAAATTTATTGAAAATTACAACATCCCTCACCTTCCATCTGTGGTCAACCAATGTGAAAGATTTTAAAAAATCCATTCCTCCCTGTATTAGCTTTAATTTGCCCCAAATAAATGTTTTGAAACAACGCAAGTTTATTACCTTATACTTCTGGAGGTAGAGTCTGAAATGACCCTGCTGGGCTCAAACCAAGGTGTCACCAGGACGTATGCCTGCTGGAGGTTCCAGGGAGAATGTTCCCTTGCCCGTTCCTGCTTCCTTCACAGGCCACCATCTTCCTCAGCCTGTGACTCCTTCCTGCATCTCCAAAGCCCACCACAGCATGGCCTGTGCACAGGCGTTGCTCTGACCTTGGCCCTCCCACCTCCCTCTTTAACTCTGAACCCTTTGATTATACCAGGCCCATCCAGATAACCCATGGTTAATTCTCCTGCCTCGAGTTCGGCTGATAATCAAACTTGTTCCATCTGCACCTTAATCCCCTCGGACTCCCACCAGGGAGCTAACATATTCCCAGGCTCTGCGGATTAGAACAGGACTCACTTGGGGAGTCCTTATTCTGCCTGCCACACTCCCCTGTGTACCTAGAAAACACTATAATAAACCTTATACTGCCTTGGCCATGACAGTCCTGGCATCCTGCGCTGACAAGCCACCTGTGGTACATGGCTGGAGCATAGCTAATTGTCCAGGCCCTAAAACAGACAATCTGGGTTTTAATTCAGTCCCTTACCTACCAGCTTCGCCATTTTCAGTATGTTAGCTGGTCTCTCTGCATCTGGCTTTATCATTATAAAATGAGTGTAATAATGGTACCTCGCTTATACTATTTGCAAAAATGTGACAGAGAGCCAAACACTCAAGATTCCTAAGCAAAGTCTGTAGGCAAAGAAAATCATCCTTACCAAGCAGACCTCTGAGGGCACGGTGACACTGAATGTGTGCCAGCTCATCTGGCATATTTAAATATTTAATATGAACAGACATAAATAAGCATGTCCCCATTGGGCCATTCACTTTCTCTAGTATCAGGGGTTGTGCTGACCCAGAAAGGAATGAAAGGGATGCTTGTTTAGGAAAAAAAACTAACTGTAAACCAACACACCGCCCTGCATCCTGCAAAACAATGGGATGGGCCTAAATGTTCCCTAAGTCAAAAGGGTTTGCTGATGCCAAGGTGATGTCTTTCAGTTACGCACGCTCTGGCTGCAAAGCCTGCCCTGCAGAATCCCACAGGCACAGAGTCTACCTGCAGGAGCAATGCCAGCCCTGGCACCCTTGCCAGCTCCCTCCCACAGCACCATTGTTTGCACAGACGACTTGCCCACATGCCAACTGAAAATGTTGGCTATGCTCCTTTTTCATTGAATTAGTTCATCTGGTTGTGAACAGCACCCTACCCACCCCCTGCAAAAGAGAGGCACATTCTCCTCAGGCTACAATGAGTCATCAAGACTTGGTTTTCAGTTCATGTGACAATTATTCCAGAGGATCCCTTTCAAAACACAAAATTGAAAGAACCAAACCAATAAAAAAGAAGTCGAGCAGGCTTAGGATGGAAGCAAAAAAATAGGGAAGAATCGGGCTACCTGACAGCGACTGAAGGAGAGAAGAAAGTCTACGAGCTGAAATGAAGCGAAGAAGGGACGCACCAGGAGCCTCCTGGGCGACCTTCCTCCAGCTGCATCCAGCTCTTCCTGCCCATCAGCTCTCAGTTCACAGCATCGGGGCAGAACTCCTTGGACAAGACCAGGAGACCTTCCAGCCTTGACCGCGGTTTGGAAAACAATCATTACCAGACGCCACAGAGGTGCTCAGAGCACATCCTGCTGCTGTCCAGAGCCACTGGAACATTCTAGTTTGTTGGCCTCAGATGACACCAATAAACTTTCTAGAACTGGGCTGGGGATGGAGCTCAGGGGTAGAGCACCCACCTTGGGTTCCTAGCACCTCAAAAACAAACAAAAATATTTCTGAGAGAGAAGAGGGCTGTCTATTTTACAAGCTGGAAACCAAAGCAAAGGAATACAAACAAGCCACGGTAGTTATGTGACATTTGAATGAGATGTTGACTTTTGAAACTTAATTTTCTTATCAGTATCCGTCTTCATTTCACTTTTAGATAAACAGCAAAGGCCCACAGTAGGACATTTATCCCTACTATGTGGACAGAATGATCCCATTTGCCCAAGGCTTCCATTTTCTTGGAGGACCAAAAGTAACACTACTGGACGCTTAGCCATACTACAAAGAATTTTTTTTCAGTTCCATAGTAAATCTAATTTGAGAAAATAAAGGATACACATGTTCCGTTGCCAATCACTCAAATCCATGATGTTTGTTCCAAGGAGTACCTACAAACAGGTTTTAGATTCTGTGGTTCCCCAAAATGGAGTCTTATCAGTTAAAGTCAATGGGCAGACCCTAAGGACTATAGCCCTAAAGGAAATGCCCAGCAAAAATGAACCTGGGGTGCACAAGGCCCTGGGTTCAATCCCCGACACCGCCAAAAAAATAAAAAGAACCCAGCACCACAGGGCGGTTGGAAGGCACATGCCAACCCTTGTGGAAGCCTCCTACCTGAGCCTGCTTCGTCACTGTACAGAGGAGGACCAGACTGCTCTCCTTCCCAGCTGGCCCTTGGCTGGCTTCTGAGCGTGTCCAGTTCCCAGAACAGTGGAAATAGAGTGGCTTCTGCCATAGAGACCTGCTTTCCTTCTGGGAGTGTGGAATTTGGGCAGAAGCTGTACAGGCTTCCCATGTGACCAGACCTCAGTGAAAACATCAGTGCTGTAAGTTCACCATGCTCACTGCTGTCTTCACAGCCGGAGGACAAGCAGGCCAGCATGCTCCCAGGATGGACAGCCCAAGAAAGCCCACACGAGGCTCCTCCAGAGGTTCCCCAGGACCTGGCTGTGTATCCCAGCCATGTCACTGTAATAAACCTTAAGCCATGATTACAACTACATGCCCAGGGCTGTTCAGGGATGGTCCTCAGGTCTCCGAGACACAACACTCACGTAACTTTCCAAAATATTTTAAACTGGTAAGATACAAAATTGACCACTGTACCTGTTTTTAGGTGTACAGTTCCGAGGCATTACGCATATTCACTTTTTATTCAATCACCATAGACATCTATTTCCATATCCATCTCTGTAACTTTTACTTTACACTGGACTCCTCCAACCCGGACTCCCCATTCCTCCCTCCCCGACCCACGGTTCTACTTGTCTATAAATTCGACTACCAGGGGCCTCACCTAAGTGGAGCCAGTGTTTCTTTTTGACTTATTTCACTTCACATAATACCTCAAAGCCTATCTATGGCACGTGACAGAAGTTCCTTTTTAAGGATGACCTTGTGGTGTGGATCTAGAACAAAAGCTGATGTATTGAAGACTTGGTCCCCAAGGCAGCAATGTCCAGGGGTTGGGTGAATTAACCCATCTGATGGTTTAATAACTGGAATGGACTACTGGAAAGTGGGGAAGCGAGGCAGCAGGAACAGGGGTGGAGGAAGTGGTCACCGAGGCGGTACCTTTGGGAACTACATTTTTTTTTTTTGTTTTTAAAGAGAGAGAGAGAGAGAGAGAGAATCTTTTAATATTTATTTATTTTAGTTTTCGGCGGACACAACATCTTTGTTTGTATGTGGTGCTGAGGATCAAACCCGGGCTGCACGCATGCCAGGCGAGCGCGCTACCGCTTGAGCCACATCCCCAGCCCGGGAACTACATCATGTCCCCTGACCCTTCCTCACAGTTTCACAGCTGCCAGGAGCTGAGTGGATTTCCTCGGTCGAGCCCTCAGGCCACGACATTTCTGCCCTGGAGCCAGCCAACCTTGGATAGAAACCACAAGCCAAAAGAAATCTTTCCTCTCTAAGTTGTTTGTCAGGTATTTTGGTCACAGTAACAAAAAAGCTAACACAGATGAATGACATATCACACACCTTTACCCCTCATCTGCTGGTGGGGACTCAGATGTTTAACTATTAATTGGAACTTGTTTTTGAGAACTTACAGACTCCCCCTATAGATTTACAGTGGGTGGGTCAACAAATACATCAGGAAAGAAAACCTGTATATGAAAAGCCAGAGTCCATGTTTAAAGGTTTTCAAGTTTCTGGGTGTGGAAAATTCCGGAGGGCAGCGGGGGCTGGGGGACATCTTCAAACTCTGAGAAAAACATTCATGGTTCAACAACAGTTTTAAGCTGGGGGCATAACAGTGTGTAAAGCACATGCTTAGCATGCAGGAGGCTCTGGGTTCCCCCTCTAACAGCAAAATGTAAATAATTAAACAAATAAAAGTCGCTCCAGGTCTGAGCCAAATGTCAGCATATGGGACATGAATCTGCAGTAACAGCAGCACACCCATATACACACCCCCATGCAAGGCCAAGCTAAAGCATGGAGATAAAAATCATTGACAGAATGTATAAGACAAGCACTTAAAAAATTAAACTCTTTATTTCATTGTCACATTTCATTTGTAAATAACTAATGCTGAGAATTTAAAAGATGGCCTTCGTGTTTTAGGTCATCTAAAGAGTTCCCAATTTATTCACACTATAGATACACAAAAATGGAGTAAAAACAAAACAACCCTCATCCCCCCCCCCCCAAAAAATAACGGGAGTACAGAACTTAAAGTGAGCAGCACAGCACACAGCAGGGAGCAGCCAGGGAAGTGGGCACTCACTTCACTTCTGGGGCAACCACCGCCAGGGACCCTACAAGCGGTGAGGCATGGCTTCCCTGGGTTCAACAAGCTGCTCACAGAGCCTGCTCCCCGCCCTCTGCCAGCACAGCCTTGCAGCTTTACTAGGAGCCAACAGGGCAAGGGCCTGGGAGAGGAGGGGCTTGGGAATGCCCCCCGACATGAAAGGCTCCTGTGACCAGCAGCCTGGCCCCAACAACCCAGCCCTTGCACTCAGCCCTGTGTAACCCTCTCCCCTTGGGCCAAGTGACCTGCCAAAGGAATGCAGGAGACAGAGCTAGGGAGGAGGGCGTGACTTCCGCCTTGCTCCCTCTGGCTCTGGTCTTCTGTAGCAAGGGTGACTGTCATATGGTGAGCTGCCCCAAGGACAGCTCCACAGAAGGAAGATGGTCTCAGCCAACAGCCACATGAAACCAGAGACCTCGGTCCAGGAGATGGTGAAGAACTGACTCCTGCTGGCCTGCCTGAGACAGCTGGGCATCTCCCCCAGGGGCCAGGCAGCTTCCAGACTTCCATGGCAAGGGCACCGAGGACCCGGCTCAGAACCCTCAGACTCACAAACTGAGGGATAATAATAGGTGCGTGTTACTGTAAGCACCTAATTTTGGGGGTAATTTATTATATTGCATTAGAAAACTAAAATAATAATGAGCTTAGAAAGAAAACAGATCGTTGTCTTAAGTCCGAAAGAAAGAGCATTGACAATACAGTTTTTCCACAGGGTCAACTAAACCAAGGGAGGGTAGGTCAACTACAAGAAGAGCAGCCTCACAACCTGGAGCCCAAGAGCTAGCGCTCCACCAAGAGACTTCTCCCAGAAGTTCACCTAATTGCAGGGTCTCCGACTCCCTGCTGCTGTCACCAAACACGTGGAACTTCTTCAGATTTTTCAAACCAACAATAAAATTTCTAAATTTCTGGCAGGTTTAAAAAAAAATAATGGAAAACAAGGTATTGTGAGCTGGGGATGTGGTTCAAGCGGTAGCGCGCTCGCCTGGCATGTGTGCGGCCTGGGTTTGATCCTCAGCACCACATACAAACAAAGATGTTGTGTCTGCCCAAAACTGAAAAATAAATATTAAAAAATTGTCTCTCTCTCTTAAAAAAAAAAAAAGGGACAGAGAATGTTAAAAAAAAAAAGAAAGAAAGAAAACAAGGTACTGTTTGTCCCTGGGCTGGACTCGCTTGTCGTGCAGCTCTTCATTGGTACAGGTGAGCATCACTGACCGCGAGCTCTGCCACCTCCAGAACAGGCAAGGGCAGAGACAGAAGGCACTCGAGGGGCTGCCAGCCAGAGAAGGGAAGTGCCTGCTGACAGGTGGGGGGCTTCTTTTTGGGGTGAGGAAAATGTTCTCGATAATGGTGATGGTTACCAAATATACTTTTTTTCAAAAAACCACATTAAATTGCACATTTTAAAATGATGAATTTTATCATTTCTGAATTACATCTCAATTATAAAAATTTTAAGCGAGTTCTTATAGAGGAAAGTTAACATCTCCACTTAAATATTTTCCTATATAGTTACATTCCACTCTCAGACATGTGACTGAATGGCATCTGCTATAAGATCACACTTAAGTGACAACATCCTCCCCCCAGCTCAGACCTCCCTCTAGTTTTTCTTTCTTTCTTGCATTGTATCTTTCAGGAAAATTACTAACAAAAGTCTTCCCCTAGTAAATGTGTTTAACTCTTCTAAACATGGTTTTGTTTGCTGTGATGTTATATTCTTGTTTTAAGACTTGAGATAATTTTTCCTCATTTTATACTTAATTGGCCACTCCTTGGTATGAACTATGAGGTAAGAAAATCTAAGAAACATTTAATGAGGAAAAACCTTTTCAAAGTTAGACTAAATGTCAGCACATCACTATTTGAATGTCATTCCAGATACACATGTGGAGAGGCATATGTTTCCGTTACTATGTAGTAAAACACACTCCAGACCCAGCAAGAATCCTTATACGACATATGGCCTGGAATTCTCAAGGCAGAAGAATACATTCACACTCTATAATGTGATTGTAAGGAGCTTGAGATAGATAAATGGAAAGCAGTATCGCTGAACAATTATAACTGATAGATTTCCCTTATTACACTGGTTTTAAATAACTAATATCTGTAAACTTTAATCCAGCTCCAGCTGGTTCAAGCCTGAACTCTTTGATTCTCCACACTCAACATCATCCACTGTACTATGAAGACAACTGAAGTCACTTCAACTGTGCTCTGGAGCTGTGCAGCCTCCCACGGGTACCTCATCAGATACTTCGGTAGTCAGAGCCCCGGGCCACAGTGGCAGCAGCGTCCCATTCCACAGTGAAGAATGAAATAGTTCCAAAAAACCCAAATACCACCATGACCAGGAGCTGCCAGTGAAGGAGAAGGTAGTTGCTGTAGAAAAAGGCCACAGCCGCGCAGATGGACTACGAGAAAAACAAGACAAATTACACAGGCACACAGAGGCCTGCCCAGCCTCACAATCAGCCCCACCCTGCAGACCCAAGGGATGCCTGTGACTGGCAGATCTTGCTCTCCTTCCCGCAGTTGCTAACTCACCCCCGGCCCCCCAAGAGTGGGTCACATCAGGGAAGCCATCTCTGCTGTTAAAACAGCCCTGTGCAGAGTAAGAAGGACCCTGTCTGCAAGGTGTGCAAGTGGGGTTCTGGCTCCAGGGATGGGAACCTCCAATCCGAGCAGTAAACCAGAACATGAAATCTCTCAGCCAGTCAGGGAATCGTGCTGCTCAGTGCTTCCCACTTCCATGCAAATCCTTTTAAAGGATATCCCCGGTTTTCACTTAAAAACCACAAGCTAGTAACCACAGCAAACCAGGCGAAGCTTAAAGGAAAAGGCCCAAGGGGTTACCTGAACAAACTTAAAGATGGCAAAGGCCGGTGCACTGTCTTCAGAATAGAGAAAGCCTAAGATGCTAAGCAGCTGGGTGTTGAAGCAGCTGTCCCCAAGACCCAACAGAAAACTGCAGAGAATGGCAACTTCTTTGCTGAAAAAAATATATTTAGTATAAGTAGTATCAACATTGCTAAAGCCACTTAAATTCTAAAAGCAACCCACCCAAAAAAGCATTTAATCTTCAAGTTTTAAAAACACAGAAATAAGAATGAAAAATATCAGAACTTATAAAGTCTCTTTCTCTCTCTCTTTTTTTTTTGCAGAGGAAACAGACTCAGAGAGGAGAGTAACTTACCCAAAGCCACACAGCTAGAGGGGGTAGGCCAGTTTGGGGTCCAGGTCTGGCTGTCCCCTGAGTCCTGCCACCTTCTCACCTAGGCTAACTTCAGAGGAGGTGAGAGGAGCATGCACTGTGGGATAAGGGGTACCATCTTGTCATAACATGGGTACAGACGTTGGGGACCAGACAAAGCCTCAGGAGAATTTGCCCGAGTGGCTCTGTATGAACTCTGGCCAGCTCCTCCCCTCTAGGCCTCAGTTAGCTCATCTGTGAAAATGGGAGGGTTGGGCCACATACCCAGGAGGTCACTCCTGCCTGTTATTCATTCCACCACCCTCACCTCCATCAAATCAGTAACCTTGTTTATGATATTAACTTCACATCAGCCTAACCAAAGTTTCCTAACCCAGGGTCCTTGGACCTCTGGGAACTCTGTGCCTCCTATGAGTAAAATTGAATATGAGTGTATGTGTGCTTACTGTGTGCCTTTCAGGAAAAGCCCATGTTGTTAGCCAGGCATGGTGGTACATGCCTGTAATCCCAGCAACTTGGAAGGCAGAGGCAGGAGGATCACAAGTTCAAAGCCAGCCTTAGCAAATTAGCGTGGTCCTAAACAACTTGTCAAGACCCTGTCTCAAATAATAAACAAACAAACAAACAAGGGCTCAGTGGTTAAGCTCCCCTAGGTTCAATCCCCTATACAAAAAAAAAAAAAATCATGCTGTTACTGGATTCCAATACCAAAAGGCTAAGAACCACTGAGTTTTGTAAACCTTTAGAGTTTCTCTATCCTCAAGCTAGATTTTTAGAGGAATGAGCCAAGGCAGTTGACTCCCAACTCAAGCAAGTTGAGTGTAAAATGCTTCCCTTTTCTTGTGTTTAAAGTCCCCTCCTTCTTCTGGAGCTGGACCTGCTACAGGTGCCCCAGGCTTCCTCCCTCCAGCCACATTGGCCCATTGAGACCCTTGTCCCCACTGCTGCTGGTTAATCTTTGCCTGGATGCTGAGTTTCGTTCTGCTCTGACTGGTCCTGCCCGAGGAGACTTCTTCACCCTCCAGTCTTCCCCTGGATGGCCATGGGGAGGACCCGAAGGTAGGTGCAGTGACAATAATGGCCAGCAGGGGTCGCAAAGCAGCCGCACTCCATGGGCCAGGGAATGGGGTGCCAGGATGGCACCTCCTTGGTTCCCCGGGCGTCGTAGGCATGAGGAATGTGTGGCAGCAGTGGGGAGGCTTAGGGTCTGGGTCTGTCCCTTGCCCACTGTAAAGTGGAGAGAGGTGGCCTAGAACCCTTGAATGGTTGCTAAGGGGAAGTGACTGCCTTGAGCTCCCCTTGGCAGAAGCATCCTTAGGAAATGGTACAGATGATCCCAGACTTGACGGGGAAAGCAGAGCCCACTATCCACCCAGAAAAGGGGAAGACTTGCCCTTGGGAAGTCTCCAAGGGCTCTGAGCAGTCACCATGAGAGCTCCTTGGGGTGGTGAGGGAAATGTAGTCCCTGCAAGAGGCTTCCCAGGGGTGAGAGGGCCCAGCACCTCCCCGGGTAAGGCTTCTCAGGAAGAGCTGGGAAGAGGGACCACGCATTCCTCAGTCCCGGAATCAGTCCTGGACCCTCCCCCCCCACCCCCCCCTCCGCTCAGCTGCTGAGGGACCCTGCTGGCCCAGATCTCCACCCTCTCTGTTCCATGAGGCTCCTGCTTCTGGGCCCTGCTAGCATGGCAGGGCAAAGTCTGGGGCGTCAGGAGGTGCTCCTGCTGAGATGCCCTGGTGGGGAGCCCTCTGCCCACGAAGAGGACCCAGTCCTCACAGGCCCAGGGAGACCCTCCCCCTCTCCCCACCCTGTCCCTCTCCCATGACCCAGTGATTAAAGAAGTAGATACAAGTACGACAAAGATATAGAACTTTCTCTACAAAAGTTATAATGAGTCCGAGGGAAGGGTCTGTGTTTGGTGGTGGGAATCGGAGCCTGGCCCACCTCAGCGCAGGGGAACTGGGAGGGGCTGAGGCAGTAAACGGACAGGGATCAAGTGAGGAAGGCAGCACCTGGGGCTCAGAGAAAGACGAGTCGGCACTTGGGGTGGCCCCAGGCCCAGGCCCAGACAACAGGGAGAGGAGCCAGGGTGGGCTCAGGATGGTTGTGGCAGCCAGGTCCTCTGGGTCCTGCAGTGGGAAACGGCCACCTCCTTCACACCCCCAGCTCTGGGCACGTTCATGGATGGGATCACACACCAGATGGGTCTTTGGGGCCCTTTTCTCCTGCTCCAGTCAAGGAGGCCCTAGGAGGAGCTCCTAGCAGGGGCTGCTTCTCAAGCTGGGGACAGATAAGGCGTCCACTCCTGACAAGGGGGAAGGGTGAATCTGCATGGGGCATGGACACACGCACATTTGTGTGGCTCCTGAGGGACTCTCCCATACCTGTGACCTTGGCCTGGCTGAAGAACTCTAAGGACACACTCTGAGGACCCTCTGTGCTGGCCTTTTCCCTGGTCTCACCGCCATCACAGAGCTGAGACCCATGGTGAGCTCTTGCTTCCTCACAATCCATGCAGAATCACAGAGATGCTCCCAGGCCTCCAGAGAAACCCACCGACCCTCAACACACACGCATGCGCGCACACACACATGCACACAGCCCTGGTGGCCTGGACACATCAACAGTTTGGATTATCCACATTCTCCAGTATCACCTTCACGGAACTTCTCCATGCTGGGCCTGACACCTGGCTGTGCCCAGCCCCTGCCTGTCTGGGCCCCTGGGAGACTCTGAGGCTGCTGGCAGATGCCATTCTCTAGCCGGTGTGTGCCTACCAGGACTGGGAGCCATAATGCTGCAGCCCACTGCTCCAGAACCTCACACCTAGCGTTCTGGCCCTCTGGGCCCCAGGGGCGGGTATCAGGCTGCACAGCAGAGGAGAGGGAGGTTGGAGGAGGTCAGGCCCCAGCCACCTCAGCCTGGCTCTTCTGCTCCAGCCATAGCTAGTGGTGGAGGAGACCGGGCTGGCCGTTAGGGGACAAGGTGGGGACTGAAAGGCAGGGCATTTGGCTGAAGAGTGTGGCTGGGGAACCTCCCCTTGGGGTATATGGGGTGAGGGAGACTGCCCAAACTTTTCCCTTCATAAAATAAATGTAGGAATCTGCGTCTTCGGCTTGAGAGAACAGGGCAGGTGCAGTAGGAAGGACAACATGGCTGAGACAGGTCACGTCCCCTCCTTGACCCCTTCCTCTCCAGCTCTGATGTTGTCTAGTCTCTGAGGGACAAGCAGACCCTGCTCTCCTTTGAGGGCTGGCCACAAATCCACATGTACTTCTCAAGGTCACTCAGATAAGGGCAGCTCTGGGGCTCTGGGACACTCAGCACTGGTGTTCAGGGGTGTTCTGTTGTCCCCAAGCCTGCCTCCAGGCCACACCCTTGCTTTGAGGTATGGACAGGCTTTCAAGGGAGATGACCCACATGGTCCTTGCTCCTCAGGAAGGGGCTACAGGGATGGCAATTGTGAGGACCTTGTGGCCCCCCTGGGGTTGTGGCAACTTGCAATTCATTTTGGTCAGAGGAGAGGAGTCCCTGGTTATCTGTGGAGGAAGAGACAGAAATAAAACTTAGACAACAGCCTTCAAAGACCTCATCCCCAGCCAGAACTAATCACCTTGATGATTTAGCCTCCCTTCTCTAGACAGGCTAATGGTCAGGGATGAAGGACACTGTCCTCCCCAGTCACCAAACTGTAAATCAGATTGCCTCCCCACACCCACACACTGCACCTTCAAGGCAAAGGTCACAATAACATGGAGGGAGCAAGTATTTTCAGGCTTGTGGGATGCTGTGGGGGAGGGGAGGGGCAGGGGCCCGTCTACAGGAGGACCAGTGTGGTGGCAGCCTTGGGCAGCTGTAATGGCTTTCTGAAAAGGACAACCCTGGGCTTGGGGTTGTGGCTCAGTGGTAGAGTGCTTGCCTAATATGCATAAGGCACTGGGTTCCATCCTCAGCACCACATAGATATAAAATAAAGATATTGTGTCCACCTAAGACTAAAAAATAAATATTAAAAGAAAAAGGACAACCCCGTTGCTGCTGGCCACTGGGAGCGTTCGCTCTTGCTTTCCTCTCTGCAGGCTGCAGACCTTGGGCAGTTGACCTTTCAGTGCTGCACCCTCTGTCCACGTGGACCCAGGGGTTAAGCCAGCTCTTCATGGAGCAGTGGTGGCAGGTGTGAGTGAGCTATTTATCCCCTAACCCCTGAGCCTCCGTGTGCTCGACCCCCACCACACAAAGGGACTCAGGAATCAGTGAGGACTTGCCCAAGAGCACACTCCAGAAGCTCCGGAAGATGGGAGGGCTCAAAAACATCCTCACTGTGATTACTATGAGTACCCTGACTCATCGACAGGAAGATGCCCATTTTTCCACATTTTGATGTCTCCAGAGTCTAGCTATGATAAGAAAGTCTCGGGTCACCGTTAAATTGGCAGCAGCTTTTAGTGGTAAATAAAATAGTGGGGTCTCTTGTAATGGCAGCTCAGATTTTATGAAATACGGTGCGCTTTTCTCCCGTGAAAAGGCAGAGGGACTCTCCATCCCCAGGGGCCTTCCAACCCCCGCCCCCCACCACCGCCCCACGGACACTCACAGCTCTGTGTCTTCTAGGGCTGGCGGGCGCTCCAGCGCCTGCCTCCGCCTCCGCACGGCCCCCAGGATCTTCTTGCGCGGCCCCAGCGGGACGCTGATGCTGCGGAGGTCGAGGTCAGAGCACAGCATTAGCGCCTCCAGATCGATCTTCTCTTGCCGCAGGAGGGCGGCAAAGTCCTCCATGTGCAGGGAGGCCAGGAAGGTCTCCAGCGGGCTCGTCTCGGGCTCCAGGTCCTCGTCCAGGCCCAAGTCCAGCTCGTCCCAGGGCAGCTCCTCCCCGCAGCTGCGGTCCTGCAGGCTGTTGGCACTACCCAGGCTGTCATCGTCCAGGCTGGGGGAGCTATGCAGCCGACCCCGCTGGGTGCCTGCCCCGTCCAGACCCCCGTCCTCGCAGCCCAGCCCGTGCAGCCCGCTGCTCAAGTAGTTTCTGCGGAACACCATGGTGCCCAGGCCAGGGCGGGTAAACAGGGAATCGTGACCTGAGTCGGTGCTGACCTCCGAGTGGGCAGGCTCGGCCGCCAGCGTGGCACGGGAGACGCTGTCCTCGTCCGAGAGGAACATGTCCCGGAGCGGGGCGCGGCCCCACTCCTTGGGGTTGGCGTAGGTGCCCTGGCGCACGAACATCACGTCGCTACCTAGTTGCAGGCCTGAGAGTGAGCGGACGCTCTTGCGGCCGTCCTCGGAGACCTTGAAGGTGCCCTCGCCGCCCTGTTTGCGCCTCTCCAACTTCTTCTGGATCTTGGTCTTGCCTTTAGCGGTGCCGTGCAGTGTGGCCTGCGAGTAGGGCAGGTGGCTGCCCAGCGTCAGGTGCTGCAGCCGGCGGCTCAGGGTGCTGGACGTGAGGCTGGAGAAGCTGAGCGTGTCCGAGCGCTCCGCCAGCTCTCGCCGGTAGCGCCGCTCCATGCGCTCGTGGTGCTTGCGCTGCAGCTTGGCGCACTCCCGGATGCGCCGCTCGGCCTCACGAAAGGCCTTGTCCTTCAGCTTGCCCACCAGCTTGGGGTTGAGGCTGCTTTGCTTGGCCGCGATGGAGTCCAGATAGCGCACGCACTCCATGTGACCTTTCATGGCAGCCATGTCCAGCGGCGTGTGGTAGTCGTTGTCCAGGCACCAGATGTTGGCCCCAAAAGACACCAGGAAGGACAGGCAGTGCAGGTGGCCATTGGAAGCTGCCAGATGTAGGGGTGTGTTGCCCCAGATGTCACACTTGTCTGGGTCACCCCTGCAGGGAGATCACGAAGAATGATAAACCATAGAAAGCTCTGGCAGCCAGTTCGCTAGGGCTGGAGGTAGAGGGAATGGGGGGCCCAGGCCACGAGGGGAGGGCCCCCAGCCTCGTGGAGCTTCCCCACAGGTACACCAGGCCACAATGAAACCCGTGGGCCTGAGACCTCTCCACTGACTCCAAGAGACCTGCTGGCCTGAGCCACCAAAAGGATGAGCCCTAGGGGAAGATGGCCTGGCACGCAGGGGGCGGGGCGACAGAGAAGGCGGGGCTGGGGCGGGGCCTTCCCCAACCGAGGGCTGGGAATCTCAGGGGATAAATATTTGATGCCCAGAGAGAAAGGAGTGAATTATTCATGGGCCCAGCAGGGAGCTGGCCCAGAGAGGTGGTGGGCCAGGGCGAGTCTGGGTCTCTAGGCAGGTGCAACTGGGAACGTGGTTGCGTGTTGCAGGGCGACGGTGAAAAAGGACAAGAGGGTAATGTGTGCTTGGCCTGAGCCTGGGTGAGTGTGTGAGGGTGTGTGCGTGTGTGCAGAGAGTACTGCCATGTCTGCAGGGAGCAGGGCCAGGCCTGGCAACGTGAGTGTTAGAGAAGGTGTCGGGCCTTGGCCTGGGCCAGGAGGGGACTGTGGGGGCAGCCAGGACTGGGGAGGAGGAGGAGGAAGGTCTGCAGCCTGGCAGGTTTGCCCTCCCTTGTTCAGGCTGTCCATCTTTGGGAGCCCTGAGAGGCTGGCTGGCTTTGCCTGTGCAGGGACCCCAACAGCTCCTTCCAACACCCTCCATGTCAGACTATTCTCCCTGAGGCATCCTGTTGGCTCCTCCAGAATTCTTGCCTCTCTGGGGCCTAGCATGGGTTCCCTGGCCCACACTAATGAGGCCACGAGGTTACCCCTAGATCTGGAGGAAGAATCACTCCCTTGTCTCAACATCTCCCCTCACCCCCCCGCTCAGCTTCCCCACAGAGTGCCAAGTCCTGCAGGACAGCAGAGGAGGGGCTGCTGGGCATCAGACCCACGCTATCCAGCACCAGGCTTTCCCTCTGTAAGACTTGGGGGAGGTAGGCCTGCTTGCTCTCCGATCCCCTTCAAGAGACACCCAGGTGCCCCTCTGAAGGAGGGGCAATGGGCCAGTGTCCCTGTGTGCCCTCAGGGAGGGAGGAGGAGCCAGTAAGTTATGACTTGGAACATGCCTCAACTGCCTAATCCCAGGGACTCTTCCCCCTGCTTCTGGGCCCAAGAAACAGCCACAAAGGGATGGGGTCCCTCCGCCCACCACATGCTTGGGCCTCAGGCTGGTGCACAGAACCAGGACCAGCTCAGTACCCACCCCTCTCCCCCAGAGCCTAAGACATTCACATTAACCTTCCTAGGGCCATCCCTTATGCCCCTTTTCCTGCCCAGGCCACCCTGGTGTCTAGGCCAGTATGACTTCAACTTTCCCACTCACAACTCTTTAACAGGAGTCATCAACTTTGGTGAATGGGGAAATTGTTCCCAGTTGTGGGATTTGGCACGCTGGCCCACCCCTGGCCAACCCACTTCAGTGGGTTTGACCTGCATTCCTGGGCCCTGCTACCTTGCCTGGTTGTGGCGTGCAGACTGTGTTCCCACCCTCAGGACAACTCCAGAGGGAAGACGGGAGACAGAAGCCCCTCCAGGATCAACACATTCATTGGTCATCTGTGACCAGTGGGGGAAGGGTACAGAGCACATTAATGAGGTGGCTGAACCATTGACATTTGGTATTATGGACAGTGGCCATAAATCCCAAGAAGGAGCAGAGTGAGGGAGAGAGAAGGGTGAGACCCAGCCTGTGGGGAGCTGTGGGTGCTGGCTGGGAGAGCCCTTTGGCTCCCAGAATGGAGAGTGGGCAGCAAAGGCCCCCACTTTCCGGCCTTCTGAGCCTTAGTCTTCTCTCAGGTTCCCACATTCCCTCTCACCCTTGCTTCCAGAGGTTCCTGCCCAGCAGATCTCTCCCATCTTTCCCTCTGCAGCACCCTTCCAACAACCATGGGCCCTCAAATCCCAGTTCCTCCCCTCCTAGCCCTACATCCAGGTCACCAGTGTCACATGTCCCAGTTTATGCCCCCCCCCATGGGTATCTCCCCCACACATGCCAGGCTCCAATGTCCCAACTTAGAGCTGTCTGTCCATAGGGGGAAAGGGCAGCTCAGAGGAGTAGCCCTGGAGTCTGGGGAGGCGTCGGGCCTGGCCCGGACCAGGAGACTCTTCCCCTCCCCTGCCTGGTGGAGGGCTACTCACCCGCGGCTCACGATGAGGCGCAGCGACTCCAGGTTTCCGTGGTAGGCAGCCCAGAGGGTGGGAGTCATGCCATCTTCATCGGGGGCATTCAGCTCCTTCCGGGTGGCCTCCTTGAGGAGCTCCAGGTAGCCATCGCGGGCAGCCCGGTGGTACTGATCGTTCATGGCGCCCGGCTTGGACGGGGCGGGCAGGGGACACCAGGAAATGCCCCCCGCGGGGGAGGGCAGAGGGGTTAGGGTTGAGGCATGGGGTCAGGGGAGGGGGCCTGGCAGGGGCCAGGGCCACCAGCCCCCGCGGCCGCAGATGGAGGGTGCGGAACGCCAGAGCCGCTACCAGGACATCTGAGCCGCTCATCAGGGCGGCGGGCAGGGTGGGGGACCTCCCGCTGCCCAGGGAGCCGCCCCCGGGCTTCCCCTGGGTCCTAAACACCCTGCTTCTCAGCGCACAGGGGCAAACCACGTGAGGCCCTGACCTTACTCCAAAAGTGCCCACTGCAGTGCTCAGACCCATGAGGCCCAGTTTGGAGACAGTTTGGGGGTCCGTCTTCATCCATCTCCAGTGCTGCAGCTCCCAATTTCTCTACCCGTCAAAGGAAAGGGCAAAGGGCTAGGGAAGGTGAAGACGGGGTGAAGGTTCAGACCTTAACCCAGGACAGTGGGACTAAAGGGAAAATGAGGACTCACTCGGCAAGACAGCTAGTAGGACGCGGCAGTCCTGGAAGCCATCCTTTGAGAGGGGCCTACCAGCCATCATCCAGCAGAGGGCGCTAGAGGACTGGAAGCAGAATACGCGCCGCGTGGGAACTTGGTACCCAAGCCCCAGACTTAGCATCCCGCGGAGCAGACGAGCGGGGCAGCGATAGAGGAAGGAGGAACTTCGATCACTGTGTGGGCAGGTGGGGAAAAGGGGGCTGGTGCCCCGATCTCGGGCCGAAACCAAGATCAAAGGTATAAGATGCGCCTGGGCTAGGAGAGCGTCAAAGTGTCAACGACAGGCACTTGGGGCATGATGGGGGTTCTGGGTGGGCGCGATCGCTGCGCACCAGATCGCAGCGGACGTGGTGGGAGGGTTGTCCTCTGAGTGCTTCAATGTGAGGCCGCGCCCGAGCCTGGCCGCGCCTGGGTGACAGGGTAGGGCAGTTCTTCGTAGGTAAATATAAATCTCACCTTATCTGGCTCCCGCGCTCTTCCCTAAATTCAGTTCGCAGAAAAGATGGATCATGTGAGTGGGTCTGAGAGGTTTATGGAGCTGAGCTCCTGCTGCTGTAAATCACCCTGTCCCCTCGGGTATAAAGCACCCGTCCGTCCCGGCGTGGGAGAAAGGAGACGCTGGCTGCCACCTGACCCCCAACGCCGTGCGGGCTCCCGGCCCAGTCAGGTGCGTGTCCTGGGCCAGTCAACTATGGGATTTTGGAAGTGGGGACCTTGAATGGAATCCAAACATTTACCGCTGCTTTTCTCTTTTCGGTGGAGCGGGTGAGGAGCAGGCTCCGATTTTTCTTCCCCCCCCCCCTCCCCGCCTTGTCCAGCGCTCCAGCCCTCACCCTACCGGCTAGGAACTCACTGGCCTACAAATGTAGAGATAAGATGAGGAAAGGATAGCTCTCGGGGTTGACCTGGGGTCCTTTCACTCCTCCCTCGCAGTGACCCCTCCAACCTCCTGCAGTCGCCCCCACCATGTCGGAGGAACCGACCCCGGGCCCCAAGGAGATCCCGCCTGCCCCGCAGGCCGGCCCCCGCGAGGTGTGGAAGAAGGGCGGCCGCCTGCTCTCGGTGCTGCTGGCGGTGAACGTGCTGCTGCTCGCCTGCACGCTCATCAGTGGAGGTGCCTTCAACAAGGTGGCTGTGTACGACACCGACGTGTTTGCACTGCTCACCACCATGATGCTGCTGACCGTCCTCTGGATCCTCTTCTACCTCCTCCGCACTGTGCGTTGCCCTGACGCTGTGCCCTACCGGGACACGCATGCTGGCCCCATCTGGCTCCGAGGTGCGGAGAATGGCGGGGGGGAGGGGGGACAGAGGTGCGGTGGGCACAGCGGGGAGCTTTAGGCCAGGGCTCTTGGAGTACCTGCAGAGTGTTCATTGACGTAGAGGGGGGAGAAGTTCCCTCCGGAAGACTGGATGTGGCTGAGGATGAGGTGAGCTACCACGGAAGAGGAGGGAGGGAAAGGGGACCTGAAGGAGAGATGAATAGAGGGATGGAGGGGGACTTCCTTGCCTTGTCTTAGGATTTGGAGAGAGGTGGACACGAGACAGTCCTTGATGGAGAGTAGGGGAAACAAGGCAGTGGTAGCTGAATGAGCTGGTCCAGGTCCCTTCCCTTTATCTCTGCAGTCTCACAATAGGACATCCACCCATCCACCTACTTAATCATGCACTCATCCTTTGTTCATTCATTCATTCATTCATTCATTGCCCATTCACCAGTTCCCCCGACCATTCATCCATCCATCCACCCAAACATCCAACCACTGACTGCACCCACTGGCCTAGCTACCCAGGCTCTGGGCCTCTCCTCCACTCTAGAAGCCTTCTCTCTTGGCTCTCTGATCCACCACAACCACCACCCACTGTCCCTGATTTGCAGGTGGCCTGGTGCTGTTTGGAATCTGCACTCTTGTCATGGATGTCTTCAAGACTGGCTACTACTCCAGTTTCTTTGAGTGCCAGTCAGCCATCAAGATCCTGCACCCCCTCATCCAGGCTGTGTTTGTCATTGTCCAGGTGGGTGGCAGGAGTGTCCCTGGATGTGGTGGAAAGGAGCCAATGCTTGGCAAGTGTCAGGACTCCTGGGTTCCAACTGCCCCTAACTTCCACCCTGAGCAATTGAGTAAATGGAATAGGACTGTAGCCGAGATCATGAGTCCAGGCATGTGGATGCACTGTGTAATGAGGTAATATCTAAATGTGAGCTCCTACTTAGGAGTGCTGCAACTTTATTTTAACCTAAATAGTGCCAATTGTTAACACCTAAGAGGTGTGAGTAGAGACACCAGCCCTATCTGCTAGAACCTGGCCTGCTCTCCTTGGGTGCCCATAGAGGGCATCCATCTCAGTGTAGCCAGTTTTTTTTTTGGGGGGGGGCATAGCTGCTATGTTGGGTATTTGCTCAGGAGGTGGGGCATCCTATAACTGGATGTTTCAAACAAGTTCAATTTCTCTCTTTTTTCAATTAATTTTTAAATTTGTTACACAAACACCATTTTGAAAGATATGATTGAGTTGAGGCAGGAAGTTTTACACAGGACCAGAAGACAGCGTGCCTGCAACATGACCCTAATGATCACATGGATGGTGCCCTCCCCTGTGGCACCACCTCTGCCACCCAGGTTTCCACAGTTTAACATATTTATGTAGTTGTAGCTTAGCTGGCCTCACTCCCAGAAATAAATAATTAGGTAGTGAAAATCTATTTGCCTCTTCATCACTGCCCCCCACCACCAACAACAACAAAAAATCAAAACCAGAGATAAACTTTCAAAGAACAGAAACTACTACCTGTATACAAAACTTACCATAGAGTAGAAAGAAAATATTTCCAGTTTTTTGTAAATCTAAAATAAACCTGATAAGTTAGTGTAAGGCTCCTGGGGTAGAGAACAATACTGGACATGGGAGCCTGGATTTAGCCCATCTGCAGAGCAATGACCCTCCCTCCTCTCTCAATACAGACTTACTTCCTCTGGGTCTCTGCTAAAGACTGCATTCATGTCCACCTGGATCTGACTCGGTGAGAACCGCAGCTCAATGCCTGCCCGGAGTGCTCACCTGGCGTGAGAGATGAGGGCTTTCCAGCCTGGGCGTGGCTCCTCCCTCTGCTCAGCCAAGGGCCCCCACTGCGTCAGCCTGGTTTCTGCTACTCTGTGCTGTGGGCTTTCCCCTGGGGGGTGGGGAGCAGGGGGCCTAAGACACCCTTGGCCTTCCCTTGGTTGGCATCCAAGCCAGGCTAAGCGTGGCTTTCAAACTCAGCTTCCCCGTTCACAGGGACCTGGCTGTACCTTCATTTCTCAACACCACCTCTCAGGAGAGCTTCCCAACCCTCCACTTTGCCAGGGACCCAAGATGAACCACATATTCACCAGCCTCTTTGCTTCCCCTCCAATCCCCAAACAGGTGTGGGCTCATGTTCACTCTTACCACCAACCTGGCCATCTGGATGGCAGCCGTGGTGGACGAGTCTGTGCACCAGGCTCACTCCTACAGCAGTGCTCACGGCAACAGCAACACCAGCCACGCCCGCCTCACCCCTGACCGTGAGTTCCCCTTTACCCCACCCCAAGGCCTCTTTACCCCACCCGAGGCTAGGTGCTTTGTGGATCTGTAGTCAATCAACCAAGCCCTCACAGGGCCTGGAGACAAAGGTGAAAGCCAGGGCCTCCTCTGGCTCCTAGGTGTTGTGGGTATAGGCAACAAGAAGGAGGAGTATGGAGGGCATCTCATTCTTGAGGATGCAGCCTTGTCCCCATTACCAGGTCCCACGCCACCCAGAAGAAAGGGCAAGGATCATCAAACTGGGGAGAGAGGGGAAGGGGGAAAGAGTGGTTCTGGGAACCTAAGATCAGAGGGGAAAGCCTGGGAAGGAGGTGGAGGTGAGAAATAACCATCCTGTCACAATGACACAGTGACAATTTCCTGAGCTCTCTATATCCTACACAGTGCTAAGTGTCTGAAACACTCTATTTAACCCTCACAACTTCCCGTGGAGTTGGGAACTACTAATATTCCTCCAGGTGCAGAAACGAAGGCATACAGAAGTTAAATAGATGCCCAAGGTCACAGAATCTGAAACTGGGGCACAAGGGCTCAGAGCCATCTTTACTTTTAACCAGTGTGCTACCTAAGTAAGAACAGGGCCCACAGTCCCTGGGTCTTGGTTCTCTGGGCTTCTTTAGGTCCTCCCACTAGCTAGGACCAGACTAGAGACTAATGCCTGTGCACACTCCCTGGGGGTCCAGAAACAGAGTGGTCCCAGCCCCCAGGGGGGCCCCAGCCCGCAGGACTGATAAAGGGCCACCCAGCGTATCCACAGGATCCTGAGAGTAGTTAAAACCAGCCCATGGGGGTGGTCAACTTAAAGTGTTGACCTGTGGGGTGGGAGAGGCCTGCTGGAGAAGCACCTCCCCTGTGTTGGAAGTCAGATAGTTTGTTCCAGCTCTCCCTAATATGACAAGTCACTTAACCTCATTGACTCTCAGCTTCTTCACCTGCAAAATCCAGCTGGGAGGATTCTGGGATCCAAAAGAGATGTTTGACAAGGCCTGAGGTATCCTACAAAGCACACTCTGGCACAGAGGCAAGATTCCTTTCAGTGTGGCATAAACCAAAGTGATGGAAGGGCACAGTGGGACCTGGGCATGGCAGCTGGTTTTTTTTTTTCTCTCAGATGCCTGGACTTTAGGGGATCCCAAGAAGGCCACTCTCTAAGGGGACCAGAACTTGACTATCTTAGGGAGCCAGGGGTCATTATAGGTGGTGAGGGATCAAAGGGATAGAAAGGGGTGAAGTGGATGGTTCTTTGGTTCAAATTTGCTTTTAATTGAGCTATGAGACCAATGTGTCTCATAGCCTCTGGCACACAGTAGGTATCAATGAATATTTGCGCAATGAATGAAAGCACCAGGTCCTTTGAGCTCCAGTGGTGATGGGCAGAGAGTCCCTGCCCTTACAATGGTCTCAGGCCAGGGGTGAGTTGTCTCCAGAAAGTTGGAAGGGCAGTCCAGCCCAGTGTCCCTCTCGCCATAGCTGAGCGTGCAGGCAGCGCCGTCGGAGGAGACCCCTGCCCCTGCGACACAACCATCTGCCAGATCTTCCAGCAGGGGTACTTCTACCTGTACCCCTTCAACATCGAGTACAGTCTCTTCGCCTCCACCATGCTCTACGTCATGTGGAAGAACGTGGGCCGGCTGCTGGCCTCCCCCCATGGCCACGGACATATCCCCTCCCAGGTCAGCCTATTCCGAGAAACGTTTTTCGCTGGCCCCATGCTGGGCCTGGTGCTCTTCGTGGTGGGGCTGGCTGTCTTCATCATCTACGAGGTCCAAGTGAGTGGAGAGGGCGGCCGCACCCAGCAGGCCCTGGTCACCTACTACAGCTTCAACATCATCTGTCTGGGGCTCATGACTTTGGTCAGCCTGAGCGGCTCCGTCATCTACCGTTTTGACCGCCGGGTCATGGACCACCATAAGAACCCCACACGCACGCTGGACGTGGCCCTGCTGATGGGCGCCGCCCTGGGTCAGTACGCCATTTCCTACTACTCCATTGTGGCCGTGGTGGTGGGCACGCCCAGAGACCTGCTGGGGGCACTGAACCTGGCCCATGCTCTGCTCATGATTGCCCAGCACACCTTCCAGAATGTGTTCATCATCGAGAGCCTCCACCGGGGACCACCTGGGGCTGAGCCTCAGGAAACCCTCCCCAAAGAGCCCTGCCAAGGCCTTACCTTTGCGAACCTGGATGCCCTCCACTCCTTGCCTGCCTGCCCACCCACCCCCAGGCTGGTCAGCCCCAGCCCAGATGGACCTCAGGAAGCAGGGGCCATCATCTTGGCCCCTCGGGGCCACTGGAGACGCCGGTGCCTAAAAGACATCTCTCTGTTTCTCCTGCTCTGCAATGTCATTGTGAGTAGCTGGGGGGTAGGGGGTGGGGCAGGGAGAAGGCCAGGGGAGGAGGCCAAGGAAGATACCATTTCGGGTTCCCTTAGCCTTCTGCCTTCCCCTGCATCCCACTGGAGAGTCTTAGAGCTCTCTAGGAAAGGAGTAGGTTCAGAGAGGGTCACTGCAGCCCTTGGGCAAACAGCATCTCCGGGTGCATAGAATGAAATCTTAGCAGAAGTAGCTGGAGGGGTCCAGGGAATGCTGACTTGGGGCTGGGCAGAGGTGAGAGGGCTGGGAGCTGATGTGGGAGGCGGGGCCGTCACCCGCAGGTGGGAGGTGTGACTGCTCCTGGGAACTTGTGACCTGTCTGCTTCTCAGAATAACTGGAGCAGCATCAGGAAGCAGCGGAGACCAGCATAGGTGTGAGTTGTTGTCTGTTGACAAAGTACAGTGTGAGGCGCTGTAGGAAGCACACGGGGTGTGTGCAACAGCTGTCCCCTCCCCAGTAATCAAACAAAGTCAGCTACCAAGAGCAACACACTTTACCAAGTACAAATCAACTGCCCGGGTGGAAACACCCCAGGGCAGAAGCCCTCACGATGAAGTGCACCCCCAAAACTTTTCCTGCAACCCAGTATAGAGATGTTCCAGGGTAGAAGTGACCTCCATACAGAAATCTCCAGTATAAAAAATGTACCCAGGTGGGTTCAGCAGCCCTCTGGACCTGCAGGTTCGATGTCCTAGTATTCACATCCCTCAGATGGAAACTTTAAGGAAAAAAATCCACTAAACTGGTAAATTATTTTTTCCTTGTTATTATTCCCTAAACAATATGGTGTAACAACTATTTATGTGGCATTTACATTACATTACATGAGTACCATTATGCCATTTCATATAAGAGACTTGAACATCCTTGGATTTTGGTATCCATGGCAGGCAGTGGGGAAGTTCCTGGAACCAATTCCCTGTGTATGACAAGGGACAACTGTGCATCCCAAGTAGGAAAAAACACCTCTAAAAAAATTTGACTCAATATAAAAACAATCCTTTTGGCTATACCCTCCAATAGAAAAATATCCCTAATATAAAAATATCCTTAATATGGGTATTTCTAGGGGGCTGGGAGTATAGATTAGTGAAAGCGTTTGCCTAGCATGTGCAAAGTCATGGGTTGGATTCCAGAACAAATATATATATATATATATATATATCCCAATATAGAATAATATCCACAGAGTAAATTCTGCCCCATGAAATTCTGCCTATTTGAAATATACCAACAACCCTATAGAGACGTGTAAGTGCAGTCCCACTATGAAGACCGCCTATCCTACCAGCAACTTCCTGTGCAGTCATTGTCCCCATAGATATGGTATGACCCCATGCAAGAGACTTCTGATAGTCAATTTCACATTTTTTATAATCTTTCTTTTAGTTGTTGATGGACATTTATTTTATTCATTTACGTTTATGTGGTGCTGAGAATTGAACCCAGTGCCTCACACGTGCAAGGCAAGCGCTCCACCACTGAGCCACAACCCCAGCCTTGTCAATTTCACTTTTAAAAAGTGCATCAGCAATCTATGACCCCACCAATAGAAGAAATAAGGCTCAAAAATCTCACAATGCCTCAAGCTGGCTTTGGTGCCCACCCCCTGCCGTGGCCCCACGCCCACCCTCCAGTTACAGGTTGGGAGGCCCTTCCTCCCAGTACCTGAGCCTGAATCACTTCTGACAGTATCATCTCACCTCTTTCATTTTATAGGACAGAAACAGGCTCAGAGAGGGCTGCCAAGTGCCTCAAAGGGTAGTTAATTGGTGCAGGGGTGGGGCCAATCTTTGTCTTCTGCCTCATACCCCACACTCAAACTGTCGGAGCGCCTAGCCAGAGGTGAGGAAGGGCTCTGGCTTCCACCTCCTCCCAGACGTGGGAAAGGGACAAGGGGTCAGAGCTCATGGAGGGCTAGGGTGCCGTAGCCTTCTGGGTGAGGTCTGAACCCTTTGTCCTGGGTCTGACTGATTCTGTCACCAGCACCCCATGCACACATCTCTCTAGTTGCTGATTCAGATGTTTGAGCCAATTTCTTCGGTCACCTATTGAAATTTCCGTGCCATAGGTGAGCCTAGCTAAGAGGGTGGGAGAGGTGGCCGCCTAGTGGAGGCCTAGCCTAGGTTGGGCAAGTTTAGTTGGTACACTTCTTGAAACACTTCTACAGAATGACAGGCCCTGTCTAAGACACTGGAGGTTGCCATTGGGTGACATCCAGCCCTCTATGTCTACCAAACTAGAAGGCTGGGGTCCCCATCCTCTCACACACCGCAGAGCCCACAGAAATGACCAGCAGGTGTATTCCAGGCCAGTCCTTGATGTGCCCCTCTCCCCACAGCTGTGGATCATGCCAGCCTTCGGGGCCCGCCCTCACTTCAGCAATACCGTGGAGGTGGACTTCTATGGCTACTCTCTCTGGGCGGCCATCGTCAACATCTGCCTGCCTTTTGGGATCTTCTACCGCATGCATGCTGTCTCCAGTCTGCTGGAGGTCTACGTGCTGTCCTGAAGCCTGGGACAGAGACTTGGGGGATGGGGATCAGCTCATGTGTCCAGAGCTCCTCTGGAATCAACTCTAGGGTGGGAGTCATAGTCACCAGACCCCTCTGGCTCCAGAGTGGAATTTTCACACACAAAAAATTTATTTTTTCAGGATGAGTTTTTAAATCACAATCAGAACATGCCCATTCACCCCTGGCATGATCCTGGGGCCTCGGGCAGTGGTGGAGGAGGGGCCTTTCCCTAAAGTCCTAGGATCAGGCAGGATCTGGAAGTGCCAGCTCTGGCTCCATCCCTAATCCCAGCCTGTGGCCTAGCCAGTCCATTGTCTGGAGCTGGGAACCAATAAACCTGCCATTTATCCGGTCCCCTACTTCTTGTCTCAGCTGCCCCATCTGAAGTTGTCATAGGAGAGAAACTTGGCACGCAGAGCAGGAAAACCTGAGATTTTCAGGCCTCCAACTTTTCACCGGGTGAATTGAGTCTGAGTTACAGGCCATCTAAGCAGTGGATAACGGGGTGGTGGTGGGGGATGGGTTTGGATGGTGTTCTCAAGCTGCCTCCTTCCTCTTTTCTTTATCTTCAGGTGACATACACACGCAATAATGTTTTTATGTGCCTCCAGCCACCAGAAAGGTGAGGCACTACTCAGTCCAATGTCCACATTTTACAAAGAAGGAAAGTGAGGCCCAGAGAGGTAAAGGGACTTGCCCAAGGTTGCATAACTGGAGAGCCAAAGCCTTTCTACTAAGAAGAATAATTTTCAAACTTTTTTCAAGCAGATCTTTTTATCAATATATTTTTACTGAGACATAGGATTGTATGTGTTTGTGGTACACAGTGTGGTCTTTCAGTACATGTATATAATGTGTCATGATCAGATCAGGGAACTTGGTACCTCCATCCTATCACACTTTATCATTTCTTTGTGTTGGGAGCATTCAAAATCCCTTTTTTCCCCTATTTGGAAATACTCAATGATTTGTTATGAATCATAGATACTCTACTATGCTACTGGTCTCCACTAGAAGTTATCCTTCCTGTCCACTGAACCACCTATAGCCATTAACCATAAACAGCAGAACATTTCTTCCCCTCAAAATGTTTTAGGAATCTCAGGAACTCAAGTTTATAACATAGATATAAACAGTTTGGTTCTAGTTTAGGAGGACTTTGGGAAAGTCAGGTCCCCACCCTTGGATCTCCTTAAACCCACTCTCTCCATGGGAGTCTCTGAAGGGCTTCCAGAGAGCTAGGATGTCTACTTTGCCAAAGGCTAAAGGGGTAGCCAGGGATGGTGCTACACACCTGCAATATCCACGACTGGGGAGGCTGAGGCAGAAGGATCTCAAGTTCAAGGCCAGCCTGGACAATTTAGCAAGGCCCTATCTCAAGATTAAAAAACATAAAAAGGGCTGGGGATGTAGCTCAGTGGTAGAGCACCCTTGGGTTCCATCGCCAGTAGAAAGAAAAAGAGAGCGTGAGAGAGGAAGGAAGGAAGGAAGGAAGGAAGGAAGGAAGGAAGGAAGGAAGGAAGGAAGGAAGGAAGACCAGAGGAGTTGGAGACTGAAAGCCTGACCTCCCAGCCAGAGAGACTGGGGGCCATGGCTGAGCTGGGGGCTGGGAAAGGAGAACATGGCATTTGTGGGAACAGTGGCTTCTGGAGCACAGGGGATATCAGAGGAAAGCTGCCTGGACCCTGCAGGATTAGCCCAGTGGGTCTCAGAGGCCACAGCGGGAAATGAAGAGGGCCCAAAAGGCTGCCTTCTCCCCAGCCTCCTATCGGGCCTCCTGCCCAGTCAGAATGAGGCTTTGTCTGGGTGTCTTCACCCAAAGTTCGCTTTTGCTTTAAGGAAGAGGGAGGGTCCTGCAAAATGGGCCATCACACGACAGCCTGATGCTAACTAAGTAGGGTCCAGGAAAAAACGTGACCCCAGACCTGGGACGGAATGGTCCCAGTCTCAACTTGGCCACCAGAGGAAAACGTGGCCTGAACCCTTTACTGCGGATCTAAGGACGTTGTTCCCCACTCCACCCATCCCGAGGGCAGGCTGCGATCGCAAGGCCGGTTCGCCGGCTGGTGACCCTGCCTTTCCGCGCGTGTACCTCCTCCCGGCCCTCCCTCCGGTCCAGCCGCCTCGCTATTGGCTCCTTGGTCTGGGCTTGAGCCCCCGGAAAGGTAATTAACGAGGGATTAATGAGATTCCCAAAGTCAACAGAAAAATCGATGGGCTGTGGAGCCTGAGCGGCGGCTGCGCATTCCCGCGGGGGGAGGGCATCGGTCGGGAGCGCTGGACCTCACCTGGACGGAAGGTCGGAAGGTCGGCGCTGTGCCCCAGTTGGTGGTTGGCCCGCGGCGATGCCTGCCCAGTCCTCAGGTAAGGCTCCCTGGGCCGTAGCTACACCGCAGCGCCCTCCGACCGCTGGTAGAACATTCCCGCGGGACCAGCACCCTCTGTTTCCAAAGCGGGGTTCAGGGGCTGCAGGGATTGCTGCGAGAGGACAGGGCGACCCGGGAGCGGTGATTCCTTTCCACCGGAGGTTAGCCCCTCTCTGCCTCCGACCTCAACTCAGGTTCTGCGCCCACCCCCTTTCCGCCCACTGGGGCGCACAGGGATCAGCAGGGTGCGCTCTGCACAGCTCAAAGTGGGCGCCGAGGCCAGGAAGAAGCAAGAAACCTGGATAGGCGGTTAAAGGGGTATGGGATCAGAGCTGCCTGGGGTCTGGAGCACGTCGGTAGCAGCTGCCCCTGGCCTGCAGTCCCTGGAATGGCCGGGAAAGAAATCCCAAAGCATCCATGCCCACTCTCAGCAACCTCCTCTGGAGCTGGTCCTATGCTCTTGGTCCCGCGGCGCGCCCAGGCAGTTCTGCGGCTTTCATCGCCCGCCTCTTACCTCCATCCATAAACCAGTTTGATGTCCTGGCCCTCCCTTGGACTGGCGTTGCGCCAAGAGCGAGCCAGGGGGCGGCAGAGTCCTTGTCAGTTCCAAGCGCACTGGTCCCATGGGTCCCTGCGCGACCCCTACCTGCCCACCACCGCACCCTGCCCAGCAGGTGAACCTAACTCATCCCTTAGATAGTTCCCTTCAGCAGTTGCTGGAGTGTTGAACCCTAGGGGACGAGGTACTCCCAGGGTGAAAGCCCTGGAGGGAGAGGACCAGGAATCAGTGTCCCCACTAGTCTTGCAATCCCAGCAAAAACCATTCCTGAAATTCTCTTCCCCAGGACCCCAAAATAACTGTAAGAAAAAGCACAAATAGCTAACACAGAGGGCTTTCTGAGCCATCCTCTGTTCTACGTCTACTTGTGTGTATTAAATCATTTAATTCTAACAAAATCCCTGTGACAGGGGTTTTATGCATTAATTCCTTCATTTATTCATCCAAGAAATCACTGCTCATCTCCTGTGCACCAAGTGCTACTACTCCATAGTTGTATATTCCTTTTACAGATGAGGACACTGAGGCACAGAGAGTCTAAATAGCTCATCCAAGATCACAAAGGTAGAAAATGCCAGAATCTGAGCTCTTCAACATTAGAATAACCAGATCACAGAGGGGTTGGCAGGTTCTGGGAAGGGTGAAGTGGAGCTGCCAGGGTTGGCAGAAAAGGAGCAGGGAGGTGTCCCAGGGAGCCCCTGCCTTACTCAGTCTGGGTGGGGGAGCCTGGGAGGAAAAGATAACAATCATCTGGAAGCCGCTAGGGCAACATTGGGATGGAATGGGTTAAATGGGGAGGATCTCTGTCCACAGCTCTGGTGCTGCAAGCTTCCTGTAAACTCCATTGTCACTGAACCTCGTGCCTGTGCTAGGTTTGGGGGGATCTGAGTTAAGTAAGACTGGCCTCTACCCTGGAGGAGCTCTGACCTTGAGGGTACTCATAGCATGCCTGACAGCGCACACAAACTCTTGACAGAGAGGAGTGGCCACCTAGCAAACAGCCACCAGCCGCTGGGGCAAGAGGGAAGGCTTCCAGGGGTGAAGAGGATGGAGGAGGGCCACTGGTGGGAGCTGGCAGGGAGGCAGGAGACACAGCCGTTCCAGGAGGGCTGGCAGAAGCCAAGACACCACAAAAGAAATGTGGAGCCTTCACCTGGGCCTGGACACATGTGGAGGGCAGGTACTCAGTGTGACCACGGACCTGAACAGGTAGGTGAATTTAGCCAACGATGACAGAATGGACTGGGGAAAGGGAGAAAATCATTTGTAAAATCTCAAAAAGAGGCCAAAATTTTAGTATTCCATTTGCTTCAAAAGAGAAGAGCAGAAGGTATGATATTGCTGGGGGTGTACGTAGGAGAATGGGGACCCAGAGAGGCTACATTGAAGAGCCCAGTGTGGTGAAGATCTCCCGAATTTGTGCAGAGAAAAAGACTGAAGCTCTTGAAGCTCAGGGTCTCAAGGGAAAGACAGACAAAAGTAGGGCTAATTCAGATAGAGCATGCTGGGTGATGTGCCAGCAATCCACAGGGGTGGGTGGGAGTGCTAAGGGCGGTCCTCACCCAGCCTGAGCATGGGTCAGGGAAAGTCACATAGCAGAGCTAAGTCTTTGCTGAGTCCTGAAAGACAAGTTGTTGTCACCAAGGGGCAAGAGGGATGGGCACTGGAGGCAAAGGGCCAGGTGTGGGCAGAGACAGGGAGGTGAGCAAGAGCAGAGAGCATTCTGGGAATTGCAGCAGGATGATTCAGATTGTGAGCAGGGGAGTGGGGCCCGAGGACCATGCTTGAGAGGTAAGTTGAGGCTAGACCAGGAAACAACAATGGCTGCTCTGCCTTGAGTGCATTGTGCACCAGGCCCATATAAACACCTGCTGTCTCATTTGGCTCTGAAAGGCCATTCAGGCCACGGCTGCTGCTTTGGACTTTACACTAAGGGCAACTGGTTGCCTCTGCAGGGCTGTCAGTATGGACAGGCACCATGGGCAGGAAGGCCAGGTCCAGGAGAGAGTGGAGGGGCCTCTAAATAGAGTAGTAGTTGTTGGGGCTGAGAAAAACCAAGGAGTGTGGGAGCTGGAATGGACAGGCTTGGCACCTGTGGAGAGGTGAGAAAAAGGGGAGAGGCAAGGAGGGTGCCCATTTCTCCATCAGGAAATGCAGGGATGGAGACACCACCATGAGA